GCACACATGGACACCAAACACAAGATCTTCCCTCCAATCCCTTCTCTGGAACCCTTGTTTGTAAAGTTATTTAAAGTATTTTCCTATGTATAACCCACACTCTTTAAAGGCATTGTTCCTTGTGAATCTGTGCATCAGATAGCCCACATCCTTTCATAATTTATGGTTTCCATCTCCTTTGCTCCTTCTGACTGCAATTGCAGTAACCTCTCTAGCTTTTCACAGAACTATGCTGATACAAGAGCGTAGTGAGATGAGGAAGCTGCTGGGGTGAAAGACTGGCTGTGGAGGACCTTGTCTTGCAGACAGGAGCATCACTGTCACACTCACAAGTGCACACAGCAAACACAGATGCTGAATCACAGACTTCTGCTGGGTCACACGGACTTCATATTCATCTTACTTTCCTGAAGGTTTCTCCCCATCAAAAACAAAGTACCTAAAAAGCACACATATCTAAAGAATCATAGAATATCCCTATTTGGAAGGGACCTACTCTTGGCCAGTGTATATTTCTTCACTATGCTGATGCCATCTTTAGAACCTCTCCACACATTCACAGAGATTTAGCTCCACCTTAGCAGGAATGCCACAGAGCACAGCAGAGCCTGGACAATCAGTTCAAGGTGAAACCCAGCATCTGGGGCCAGCCAGAGCAGAGTGTGCAAGTGTTTCTCAAAGCCATGTCAAGGAGAGAAGAGCTCGGTAGGCGAAAGGCAGAGCTGTGTGGGTCAGGCTTTCAGAAGCTTGAGGAGCAGCAAAATGCCACTGAGAATGTATTGTTCACACAACCATTACAGGCAGAGCAATAGAGAAACCACTGCGGGCACCCTGAGGGTATTTGTTTCCACAGGCACACAGAAACTGTGTTCTTGGAACAATTTGTCATCCACCCAAGATATTGCTTTTCTCTATCTGTGTCTATCTAGTGTCAGCCAGAGATGCTTCATGGAAACCTACATGAAACTGTTTCTTCTTTCCAATCAGATGTTTATGACACAATGTGCACCACTACAGGCCGGTACAACTCCCAATGCACCTGACACTCATACAGCCATCCCATCTTCTTTTCAGACTTGGCTAAACTTGTTCTTAGCAACATTCTCCATCATAAATGCCACCATTAGTTACACTGAAAAGCACTTAACTTTCTTCACTTTGAATCCATCACTTTCACCTTGCTTTTCTTTTTTACAAAGGAACAGACATCCCTTTTCCACAGCACTCACTGTTTCTCTGACACCTTTCTAACATGAATCCTTTTAATAGGAGTGATCCCATATTGCTCATAAAACTCCCTCAGGTTTCCAGCTCCCAGCCATTCTTACTATCCCTCTCCAAAACTGCATACACAAAATTTGACTGATCACAAGAGTATTACTTAAGTTTCATAGTAAGGCATGAAGGTAGACAAAAGTGATTTTAACAAACAAGGCAACAGCCAAGCTTCAAACAGGTGTCCTCACTCTGAGCATGAACCCCCACACCATAATTCTTACTAGAAGTTATAATTAAAAATACATACTGACGATAATATATATGTAAAAGCAGCCCAGCTCCCCTGAAACTGCAACCAACACTATTAGGTAGCTTGCAAAACTCACTAGTCCAGGTCTGGAGCTTACCCCTGAATATCCTAGAAAAACAAGATACACACCCGAATCTGCCATTACACTGCTTGAAAGCTTGAATTACATTGCACCAGTTCGTGGTTGTGCCCATTACCTCACTAATGCAGCACAGCTGAAGGTGCTTCTCAGAGGAATCCAACTTGGAAATACAATGTGCTCTGCAAATTTCCAGGACACAAACAGGTAAACTAACCACAATTCCCAAGATCCAAATATCCCTTCTGACTTGCCAGTGTAGAGCCAGGCTTTTGTCCATTTTTCCTGGATTCACAACTGCACATCACAGACAGCATCATTCAATACTTTTATCACCTAAAGCTGACTCTCCACCAAACACAAATAAAAGAAAGGATTCACAGAGCTGGAACCCACACAGAGATGGGCATGCTCACCAGCATCCTGCCCTGACATTCAGGCTGATCTCCAAACATGTTTCAAAGGTAAAAATCTCACCTCTGTGCAACAGGAATTGGAGTTTCTCTCCCAGCTCGATACCAGCATCTCTGCCCCACCAGTACCAACCACACCAGGCAATCAGGGCTGGCAAGACAGAGTCAGCTGTACAGCGAGAAAAACAGTAATTCTCACTCACCCAGACACCATGGAGACTGAACATGAGCAATTCAGAGCAGCTTGGGGCTGCAGCTAAATAAACTTTAATGAGACAATTCTAGCTTCATTTTCCTGGACATGTCTTTCATTTCCACCCAGGAGCTTACCCAGACAGCATACAAGGGCTGCATGCCACCAACCAGGAGTGCTGGCAACACGGGACACACACAGCCAGTGTGCCCACAGCCACACAACACACGGGGTGGGAGCGACTTTTGGGAAGCAGCTCTCCTACCCACTACATGGCAGGTCACTACAGGACCATTACTGATGGCAACTTACTGCTGCTGCTCTGCTGGACCCCGGTGTCCCTGATCTAGCTTCTTTTTTTACACAAGCTAAGCCAGGTGGAAAAAGAAAACCTGAATAAAACAATTAAAGGAAAACCATCTATGGAACAACGGTAATAGGTCTGAAGGGGCCATTAGCAGCACCTGCATCATAACAAAGTTAAAGGCAGGATTTGACAGGAAGGGCAGGGGTTTGATGGCAGGTGGCTCTGTGGCCACCACCCACACCATGACCTGCTGATAGCCCATCCCTCAGGGAAAAAACATCCAACAAAGGCTAAGTAATTGAAATAGGGGAATAACAGAGCTAATAAATTTAGGAGCAATAGGCTGTAAGGTCATGGGGTGGGCAGGGTGAGACAGACCAAGCCAACAGACAGAGGGAAATTTTCAACAATAAATCTTTATCAATGGACACACATATTTCCCAAGGGAAATCACAGAGTATTATTTAGCTTTGTGTGGGCCAGTCATGCTTCAGCAAAGGTGGGGATAATTAGAAAGTCCCCCACATCCCTAAACTGTCCTGCTGCACAGCAGGCTGAACTACACACAGGACAGCAGCCAACATTTTTCAGCAAGAACACAGCCACATTATTAACATAGAGATGAAATGCTGTGTCCTCTTCTCCAGCTTTGCATGTTCCCATACTTTCCTAATATCCCATTTCTCCAACTACTTGGTGAGCTGGCACCTGATGTATCACCCAGGTCCCAGGCACTCCCTACTCTCTCAGCTCTTACCCCAGAAACTCCTGGAATGTACAAGCACAAATTCTACAGGTAAGTAAGTTCAGGGGAGCAAAGAAATCCTGGAATGTGTCCAAAAACACTTGTGGGTTCTATGTGAGACTTTTTCGCATGGGTCAAAACCCGTTTGTGCAGAGGGACCAAGGTGTTGCAGATGTGCAGGGAGACACATCAGCAGGCTTTATGGCTCCTGCAAGCTCCTTAAACTTTTGTGTACCAATTGCCTAGCAAAACAGAAAGAAACAGACAGGAAATTAACCCAAGAACAACACAACTGGGCTAAAAAGTCAATTCCTACAGGTGTGGGAAAAAAGAAACAAACAAAAAATAATCAAAACAAAGCAGGAGAAGCCTACTCTCGTTTGTTTCACCGGCAGGGCCAAGCTGCACCCGGAGGTACAGGCGGCAGAGCAATTAGGCAGGAGTTGCTTCATCAAGGGCTCCTCGGGAGCACTGCCGGCTTCCCAGCACAGCCGCGGGGCGCGGGGAGTGCTCCTGAGCAATGGCAGGAGTACGGTTTGCCTATTCAAAAGAGCAGAGCAAGAAAGGGAGAGGGGAAAAAAAAAAAAAAAAAAAAAACTTATACGAAAAAAAAAGTTAAAAAAAAGAAGTCGTGGGTGACGTCAGGGTGTGGGAAACTTTTCCGTCCTTACCTGGTGGGGAAGGCAGGGCCTCCCCCGGCATATAAAAAGCTGCCGGAGCTTTACTCAACTTGTTATTTACTACGAGCCGCGGCCGGGGGTCGGCGGGGCGGGGCTGCGGCAGCCCCCGCCCGGGCCAGGTGCACCTGCGGCACCGCCCGCCCGTCCCGGGGACCCGGCCCGGCCCGGCCCGGCCGCCGGCACCGCCCGGGAGTCGGGCAGCGGGGCCGCCCGGGCAGCGGGGGAGCTGCCCCTGCCCCGGGCCGGCGCTGCCCCCGCCCCGCGGCCGAGCCCGCACCGCGCCGGGCCGGCCCCTCCGGCGGCCGCGGCGCCCCGGGCGGAGGGAGGAGCCAGGGCGGCCCCCCCGGGCGGCCGGCAGCGCTCCCCGCCCCGGCCGGGGGCTCCAGCTGTGGCACAGCTGCCTCGGCGGGCGGACGGGGGTGGGGGGAGGAAGGGGGCAAGTTATTATCTGCAACAATACCTCGGGGGAGGAGGCAGCGGAGGCGAGCGCGGCGGCGGCGGCGGGAGGAGGCGGCGAGGGGCGGGCCGGAGGCGGCACCGGGACCGCCCCGCACCGCCCGCCCCCGGCCCCGCCGCCGGCCCCTTCCTTCCGCCCGGCGGCCCCTTCCGCGCCCCTGCCCCGCGGCGTGCCCCGGGCCGCCCCTCCCGCGCTCCCGGCTCGGTATCCCCGCGCCGCTCCCGCCGCGTCTCCCGGGCAGCCCCTCCCGCGCTCCGCCCCGCACATCCCTCCTTCCTTCCCTCGCTGCCTGCCTGCCTCCGGTCCGTCAGCCTCCTCGCATCCCCCCGGCCGCGCCGCTGCCGCCTCCCGCATCCCTCCGGCCGCGCCCCCCCCGGCCCTTACCTCCCTTGGGGCGCAGGGAGGGGCGGCCGGCGGCCCCCAGCTCGGCGGGACGGCCCCGAAACAAAAAGCGAAAGCGGCGGCCGCTGCCTCCCGCTCTGCCGGGCTGCCGCGCTCTGCCCGCGGCTGACGTCAAGGGCCCAAATTCCTGCCTTTCCCTGCAGGCAGATTTGTCCATGTAAGGGCTGGGGCCGGGGCCGGGGCCGGGACGGCCGCACGGCGGGAGGGGGCTGCGCTGCGCCGCGGCTGGGGGGGCGCGGGCGGCAGCGGCTCCCGGTACCTGGGCGGGGGGGAACGGGGATGGAGGCGGCCCCGACCCGGTGAGCATCACCTTCCTGCTCTGCATCCCGGCACCGGGAGAGCCGCAGGCCCAGAAATGTACCTTGTGCCTTGCAGGACCCAACTTTTCACAGGGAAGTTTTGTCCAGGGTTCCTTTTGATTCTTTAGGTGCTTCTCCAACCAGCTTTTAATCTGTTGTTCCCCAGCTGGGGCAAAGAACAAGGTGAGGGGAGGTAAAAAAGGTGCAGGGAGTTCTAAAGGATCTGCCTTTTCACAGATTCAAAACCAGACTTGTCGCGAATACTAAAGAGAGGGGAGAGGTGAACTATTTTCTGATTGCTCTCTGTTTGATTGTTTTGTGGCTATTTCTAAGGACTGCAATTAAAGTAAATTGGGATGTTGAATGTGATTGTTTTTATAATGGAATGTTACTCTTTAAGTAGCTGTTCGGTATCTACATCTGCCCTGTAAAGAACGGGAAGACAGAAGGGTTACATTGTATTCAGGCTGTGGAGGGGAGCCTTGCCAAACCTTACTGATTTGGAAAGAGATTTCTGGGTGAGTTTGTAGGCACTTCAAATGTATTTCATTTTTAAACTAAAGGGCTCTGGTGTGTGCTTTCAAGAAGGTGTTTACATCTCATCCCATTACCAGCTTTAATGTCCACAGTCAGCGCTTGACAGCCCCAGGAGGGCAAGATTGCTCATTTGGACACAAAAAAAAGGATAGTCGGTGCCTAAAATACTTAAGCTGCAGCAGAGAATTGTGATTCAACCTCTCTCCACCTTCCCTGGCTGCCAAAATCAGTGTACTTCCCAATCAGAGACCCAAGAGATTTCACCCCACCCTAACAGACTCCTCAGGAGGGAAAGCCTGGCATTTCCCAAATTTAGTCCTCAGTGCAAACTCCCCCTCTAGGGCTGATTTGGTGTCTCACACTGGCCCTGTGTACCAGGGGTGTTAAATTCCCCCCAGGAACAGAGGCATGCCAGGGCCAGATTGTCTCCTTAGAAGCACTGCAGCTAAATCTGCATGAGCAGTCATGGCTGCAGGTGTTTTCTAAGCATTAGGACTATGACTAGAAATACCCCAGCCTTGTCCTAGCTGCCTACCTGGTGTTTAAACCCTGCTGAGATCCTGAACCAAAGCTGAAGAGCACATGAGTCACCCAGTGCCCAAAGCTGAAGAGCACATGAGTCACCCAGTGCCATGGTGTTACCTAGAGAGCCAGCAGTGCTCTGTGAACCTGGCCTCTTATGAAAGACACGGCACGGCTGATTTCCAGATGGAAGAGACTGTAGCACCAGCTCAAGCTGAGCAGCCAAAGCCTTTGCCTGAGGCTCTGTAAACCCAGGTTCAGTTCCCTCCTGCAGAACCCACAGTTCACCTGTCCCCTTCCAGCTGAGTGCTGGGCTGCGAGCTTGTGCTCCTGCATTGCGACCCGAGGATAAGTCACAATGGGATTTTCTTCCACTAGGAGCAGGTGGTCATAACCAGGGGTTTCCTGGCACCCATGTCTGTCAGTCTCAGAGTGGTGGAGCTCTCAACAGGAGATAGACACAGGAACTGTTGCTTCTTTTGGTTTTCTTTCTTCAAGTTTTCTTGCAGAGCTGTAACAGTCCTTGTGTTGTGTCACTGATATCTAGGGGAAGTATATGAACACTAAAAAACCCCTTTAGCCCAAGATGAGACAACTGTTCTTCATTTACTATTTCAGACAAAAGCAGTGGTCAAATATTTTCCTGGTCCCATATCCAACAAGTATTGCTTCTTTATCCATCAAGCTTATGAAATTTTCCAGTGCTGTTAACAGAAGATAGAATACTGTGCTCATCCATAGCAGCGTCCTTTAAATCATCCCAAAAGTTTTAAGCTTTGAGCCTCCAGAGTTTGAGATAGTAACTACTACTACCTCCATTTTGCTGGTAGATGAACTGTGACTAATCCTCTGCAGCACAGCAGCAGAAGTTTGATTTGCAGCCCATTACCCTTGTGACGTGCTGCCCAGAATGGTCACTGCCTCGTCAAACACAGCATGAATTTTCTGGGGTTTTTTTTCAGTTTCCTATCATGACCAATATCATACACTTTGGAAATGAAAGTAGAAAATTCAAGGTGTTGAGCCTGGCTGTGAAAATCTGCTCTTTGCCTGGAAAGAATCAAAAACACTGGCAAACATACAATCATTCCTTTGGTAATATCTACCGCACCCTGCACCATAGCAGCAAAATGAATTAAACAGCAAAAGACTGAAATGCCTGACATTGCATAGGCCAATCAGGAGACAGGAATACAGGAGTCAGCTTGGGCCTGTATTAATTCAAGGAAATTAAGTTTTTTAGTGTTTAAGGTGCATGACTAGGAGATTGGAAACTTGGCTTCTGCTCCTACTTTCCCTGTATTGTGTGACTGAAACCAGTCAGTTCACCTTCCCATGTCTAGAGGAGCCCTTAGAAATCCACAGCACAAGGTTTAAAACAGGGAATGACACATCATGACCTCCTATCAGACCCCATTCTGTGCAAAATTTCCAGAAGTCAGCAAGTGAAACCTTGCTTTTCAGTTTGGGTCTCTCCTTTTCAGTGAGATTTCATATGCAAAAAAATCACAAAACAAAAAACTCAGGATGGAAAGCCGCAGGAATTCCACCTCTCAGGCCATAAAGCAGGAGCAGCACTGCCTAAACTGACAGGGGTTCACCTACCCTGCTCATAAGAATATCTAGAGGATCCATTCCAGAACTTTACAGCTGGATATGTTTGCTTTATCTCTAACCCAAGTCACTTTTGTTGCAAGTCAGCTCTTAATCAGATGAAATTGTGGGGAACTGAGATATTCTCTCACTAGCAACAATTCCAGAACAACAGGAAAGTCACCCACCTGGTGAACTAATTCTTCTGTGTATAAAAGCCAAAGAGGCTGGAAAACACACTAAGCATGTGTTTTTGGGAAAGCTGCCACCTAATTTACAGACAAGGATCAGATGCAATTAGTGTTAGATCAACTGGAGACTCCTCTGCCCCAAACCACAGCGCTCCTCACCCACCTCGCCAGGAGGACGCCAGTTTCCAGCAAGAGGTGCAGTGTCACACTTGACCCTTCAGTCTAAAGGGCATTCTTGGAAGCACATGCAAAACCTGAGCTCACAGCAGCAGCATTCCTGTGGCACTGGGGAAGGAATGAGGAAACACCAGCATGGATACTAGGCAGACGGGCGAGAAAAGACTCATCCTGCAAGACTGAATTACTTTCCCAACAGGGTGCTTGTTTCTGATGCAGAGATCCACGTGTGCTGCCTGGTAGAACAAATCTAGAAACAGCAGTGGGGCTAAGCTTTGTCATTCCCCACTTTGCAGATATGTTTGCACCCAGACAGGAATGCAAGACACGGTACTGAACAGGCTTTAGTGAGTCACAGATCTCTGACAGCAATTGAGACTGGGCCAAAACCCCAAGGGAATCTTCACTGGTGAGAAATACAGTTGCCAACTAACTCCCCAATTTTCTGTGAGTGTATCTGAGATAGTAACCATCATCAAACCCTCCATCTCTGGGCACATCTCAGAGCTGCAAGTGGTTCACAAGATGCTCAGTTTTACCTGGCCATCAGTCCTGTCTAATTCCATATCATTTCACTGTTGTCCATGGTGAGTTTGGGGTAGCTCAGGAAAGTATAAACCTTCCTGCAAACATTTTAGACTCCACTCCCTGCTCTGCTTCATCTACACTCTAGGCCATAGTAGCCTGTGCCTCAGGAATGGTAAAGTTTTGTAAAACTGTTATATTCCAGTGCTGAGAAGTACAGCTGAGCAATGTGTTAGTGTAACACTTCATTTTAAGGACACGATTAAATCCAATTTGAGCCCAGAGAGATTTCAGCTTAGATTTAAGCGTTCCTTTGAACAGGGTGGATTTAAGGATTGAAGTGTTTTGCTAGACTGTATCTTTGGTTAATGAGGAAGGGGACTAGCTAGTGCTAGAAGAAAGAACTGCCTGAAGCATTTTGGCATATCCAAACCATTACTAGCACTACTCATTTTTTCTAATGAATTCTAATGGAATTAACACAAAGAATTTGTAAAGAAGTTCATAATTTCATTAACAATCCTCACTCTCTGGGTCTCAGTTTAGTGGGGGGAAAAAAGCAAAGTTCTAGTATCTCATCAGAATGATGTGTAATAATTAAAGCAGAAGCCACTAGACTTAGTATTTTATACCATCCAGTATTTTGCACAGTATCTCACTAATGGTAAATGTCTCATGCCCAGATTTGAGCACAGAAATCATGAGTGCTTTGCTTTACAGGAAGAGAATCAGTTAAATACTTTATGGAGCCTACACTGAATAAACAAAGTACCCCAGTCTTAAAAGAAATATTTGTGGTAACAAAATATTTTGGGGGACATTTTTGCATGGGCTCTGACCTCCCTGTTGAGAATCAAAGTGAAAATATTGAATGTACTAAGCAGATGTCTTCTCCTAGTGACAGCAAGATGAGCAAAGACAGCTGGTTAGAAGAACAACAACAACAAAAACACATCATCATTCCTGCTTCAGCTCCAAAAAATCTTGGACTTGTTGTCATGGAAGAAAGCTATATATGTTAGAAGCCAAGAAAAAGACAAATATTATTGAATCTGGTAGCATTTTAGTGAATGTGCTGGAAATAACTTGAGTAGGAAGAAAAACTGGATGCACTCCATTGTTTATTAAAAGAATGCCTCTTCTTATTTCCACAGGGACATATAGCCTATATAGGCATTAACACATTTGGAAGATAGATATTTTAAAGATGCTTCTTCATTCGTCAATCTTAAGGACTCTTCTGCTAAAGTAAATAGAGTTACAGCACATAGAAATGTATACAGCCACAAAATATTATCTCTGTAAGCTAAAAATGCCAACTGTGGATTTTGTCTGTAACTCCTTCAATCAGGGAACATGGGTGTATTGCAGAGACACCTAGAGAGATCTTAAATATTAGGAAGGAAGAAGAGGAGAAAATTAGACTCCCTTGGTGAAACACAGGATAAATAATTCACAATGAACAAAGGAAAAGAAAAAGGAAACCAAAATTAAAATATGAAGAGCTCTTCTGTATGAAAATCAGTCTGCGCTGCATTGAACAGATCCAAGAGGAGTTTTTTGGCAGGACTGGAAAATAAGCCAGTGACCCTCTGACCACCCTGCTCAGAGGCAGCACATTCTCTCTTGATAGTTTTCATCTGAACTTGATTTCTGTGCTTGACCCCTGGACATTTCCATTTCCCTTTCTGAGCCTTTGGGCAGACTTGAGCGAAGGACAGGATTGATGAGAAGAGTTTAAGAAATCAAAAGCTGTGCAGTTGGTACTGGCAAAGACAAGTAACTTGAGGTGGATGTTCCCAGTAACTTGAGGTGGATGTTGGGCTATTAGGTGGCCCAAATCCCATGGTGCCATCAGACAGTGTCCTATGCAACAGTGAAACTCTGGGTTTGCTGGCTCAGGAGGTGTCCTGTGTGGAGTGCTTCAAAACACCTACAGAGGTCCTAAATTATTTAAAGCCTTGAAGAAGCAACAGGTTACTTTGGTTTATACTAAAGATATATACAAAGAAAATCATGTAAAGAAAAGTATTTCATTTGGAAAACAACTGCCTTGAGAATTGAGAGCTGTGACCAATCTGACATACCAGCTTGTAAACAGAGGACAATGAGGTCAAAAGGAGAGGACATGGCTGCTGTCTCTCCAGTTTCTGGCTTTGCCCTTTCTCCACCAGATGATTAGTCAGTAATAGTTTTCAAAAGCAAATTATTTTATTTACTTAATTTTCTATACAGAAAACCAGGGTTAAGTATGCAGCTCTGCAATCGAACAGATGTGGGACTTGGGGAACATTGCAGCTTGAACTGAGCTGGAAAAGCTTTCACCATTTGCCAACATCTTGGAGAGTCAGGAATCTTTCTCATCTCTACTGCAACAAAAACAGAACTTCTCAACATTCTGGAGGACTTTCTCCCTTGTAACAAAGGACAAAAAGCATGCAGTGGAAAACAAATCACAGAGCCAGAAGTGACTGAGGATCAGCTTGCCTGTTTTAATTCCCCACCTTGCTAGCCTCAGCTCCAAGACCTGACCTACAGACTCCCAGCCAGCCCAGGAATAACCATGCCACAACAAAGGACCATCTCAGCCAGAAATTCCATGCTGATTCCAAGAAAACATTTCCTAGAGTATCTTGCTAAAATGGATACACTCCCACACGCACTACATGAAAGGAATCATGTCTGACAAATAAACATTTCTTAATGAGAAACATTTGTCCAACATGTTTCTCCCCAGTACTCTGAAGCTTTGTGCCTCAGTGCACCATCAATAAAAGGAGACAACAGCCCTTCCCTAGGCTCTGGGAGATCACTCTGGGCTATGAAAGTGATGGACTCCTTACCTCCATTAGTTACCCTCAGAACTCCATATAGCACACAAGTATGGACTGACTCAAGAATTTCTATAGATCCGTTTCAACCCATATTTGACCTTGACCAAGAGCATCTCTGCCCACAGGCTGCTCCATTTACTCCATCTCACTTTGGAACACAGAGGCAGTACAGGGTACCTCAGTATCCCTGAGCTCAGCCATCCCTGAATGTGCATTTCCTCACACCATCAAAAATTTGGATCACCAAGGAGACAGCCCAGCCCTGCTGCCAGTGAGGTGACAGATCCCTGGCACCGGAGCTGGGCTCAAACTGCTCATGAGCTGCTTGTGGCTGGAGAGGAATGTCTGCAGAGAGCTAAACCACATTGTTGATAGATCTCTTCCAAATTGTCTCTAATCTAGTGGACAATTTAAGAGTAAATGTGTGCTGGAAGCACCATCATTCCTTCAAAGTATTAACTTGAGAACACTGGGCTTGTGGCTGCACTGGAGAAACCTTAGGATCTCACTGGTGCCTTGGCCAAATCCTTAAGACGTCAGAGTCACCTACGTGTATTCTGTCCCCTCTCTCAGAACACTTCATATATCTGTTTGATGCCACAGTCACCATAGCTCTAGGAATGTGGTACGGTTCCTAGCAAGGGCTGGCTGAGGTTGTGAATCTGAAGCAATGTGCTTACAAATACAAGACCTGCACAGAGCTTTTAGAGATAGTCAAATGGCTCCAAAGCTTCAGGAAAGCTGACATTTTGGTGCCACCTTTGTTTCTTAGTCTCACACCTACTGCAGGGAAAAGAAGAAAAACAATTCAATTGGTATTTGTGTTATCCTGTCTACATTTCAGCCACACGGTTCTAACATTTTCAGAACTTCTGCAGGCCCATCTCACCTGTTCAACATCTCACCTCTCCCAGCCATAGACTGAAAAATGCCACCTTTCTCCACTCATTCAAAAGCTGTCTACACCCATGTGTCAGCTGTTTACCACCCTCTGTTTCCTCCCTTTGGGCAGCTGATCAGGGATAATGACCTATCCTTGAAGCATTTGTTTTATTTAGCTTACAGAGAAGGAGGGCTTAAGGCAACAAGCAACCTAATTATATAACCTTTCCCACCCTATCTTATTACAGAGGGATCATCTTGCAACTTCACCTGTGGAAACACAGCAGCTCAACTCTTTGAATGTCCATAACTCCATCTGGGCTCTTTCCTGCTCTGCTTTTGTCCTAAGCAGAATGGATCCAATGCCTTTCAGTTAAGATCTTCCACTCATTCTTTACATTCGGGTAGGAACAACAATCAACTCAGCCTTGCTTTAGCCACCTTGGTGTTGCCCACAGATTCCTAGATGACATGGCCATGCTGCCCAAATGGTAGGAAGGCCCTGATGGAGAAGCTGTATATCACAAGGCAACATTTGAGAGCACCCAGACTCTGTCCCCAGCACCCAGAGCATTGCATTGGTTAATACTGTTGGTGTTGAGCACCACCTGCATGCTCTGCACAGGGATCTGGGACTGGTACACACCCTGCATCAAGCCTCACCCCACAATGAGACAGGCAGGCAAATGAGAAAATTGGGCCCTGGCCCTTTCCTGTGATTAGGTCATTATAATGGGTAAATATTTTCCTAGATAGACAGCTGAGATAAAGAACTCCTGATGTCTGAAAGGGAGTTTGAACAAAACTTGGAAGGACTATCTCTACGTTATAATTCTTTATAATGTGCTTTTACCAAATAAATGCCTTTTGCCCCTAAAGTACCCAGGGAAATGTTTCACTGAATAGCAAGAACAGCATCTAGTCTACAGCCAAACTGTTCACCAGCAAATATATAGAATGGATTTAGTGACAGGTACCAAAGATTATTCCCAGAGGACGTTACAGCTCTACACCATTCAGTCTAAATATTTACTGAGGAGTACAGAAAAGTGAATGGTAGAGGCAGAGTCCCAGAGATTGGCTTAGAGGAATCTGTTTAATAAAAGCTTGTTTCTGCAGAGAAAAATGATTGTGATTGTTTGTTAATGAAAATCAGTGTTCTCGTGCTATAGCAAATAGTGATTATTCAATCTCTCTCCCTCTACTCTGCATTATTCATGATTTTGTGGCCTCTGCTCTATCCTCTCCGTTGGTATTCCAATCTCACCCTCAGTTTTCTCTGGGTTTGGGAGCTTTTGTATCAGATAAACTGGTTCATAAGGTAGTCTTTGAGGAACAAGTCTCGCTTAAATCTCTCATAATATCCAAGAATGTTCTCCGGTATTTGACCTCTTTGTGGATGAAACAATACTCTTCAGACACAATAACCTTGGTGTTTCAAAGCTGTAACCAGCACCTGTGGAGTTTTCAAACAAATAGGCTCAGTGTTCCTCGGTACAGTCTTCCTCACTGCTCCCACATTTAATTGCTTTGTAATTATACTTGTAAAACCTGCAATGGGATTACACATGGGGAAAGAAAAATAATTTTAAAAATCACACTTCAGAATAGGAGGGGATTTATGGGAGCTGCAAGACAAAGAAAAACCCACCTTTATTTCTTTCTTCGCTGTTGTCTTTGGAAGGCAGCCATCAAAGTTTCCTTGTCAGTAATACAGGGATTTGTAAATAGAACAAAGAGCTTCCTCACACCAAGGCACATTATATAACCCAGCGCCGTCACCGTGTGTCTTCGCAGGCAGTTCCCTTGAACTTTGCATCTCGCTCCTCCTGAGAACAGTCTTCCATGCCAGCTTCAACAGATGTGGCTTCCTTTAGGAAAGGTTTTCTGTTAGGGTCATTCTGACTTCCCTTTCAGAGTTTTCCAGCCTCATGCTCTTTGCTCAAGGGATTACTGTGGTGGACACTAACTCCATGTGCTACTGTTAAGCTTCTCCTCACCTGCTGGCTGAGCTGAATGAGTGCTGAAACCTCTGTTCCACAGAAAAATCTGACATCTCATGTTTTCCTGAATCAGACCGGAAAGTTGCAATTTCCTGTGAACCCAAATTCTGAGAAACATTTCAGAAAGTGCAAAATGGCCCCAGCACAGCCTTTTGTTTGGGTATTATCTACAGGTTTTTATGAGACTTAAGCTGGCTTTAAGCCCATCATGTTCCAAGTGATTCCAAATACAACCAGGCAGCACCCACTGCTCCCAAAGACACTCCAGCAGCTGTGGTGTCTGTCGAGGGTGCTTTGCAAGAGAGAGGTGACACAGAGCCAGTTGTGGTTTTCTCTTACCCCGTGCATTATTCTAGTATTGCCACTCTTCAATTCCACAAGTGCACTTACAGACTTCAGTCTTACAAGCATTTTAATTCTTATTTTCCAGGCTCCTTAAAAACAAAGGCTTTTATAGTATACCTCTGAGGGTACAACTCAATAGCTTGTACAGCCCTGGCATGATTATTTCTGACACATCGAGTGCATATTCCATGGCACTATTTTAAAAGTGGGCAGCTTTAAGACATTTTAACTAAATCAGGGCACAAGGCCATGCAGACCCTCTTGTTATCAATAAAGCTGGTTTTTAATCTCTGGTTGGTTAAAAGAGTTTTGTAAATGAATAAGGATAAGACATCCTACACCTGATGTAGATCACCAAATGCAAAATTTCACACTGGTTAAACCAGGGTAGTATCAGCTTGTGTGAAGACAGCTTTGAAGCTGCAAAAGCATAGTGGGAAAAGCAGCCCTGCCCTATGAACAAGTGAGAAAAAACAAACAAAAGTAAACAGTGGAGCAAAAGCAGCTGCTAGCTGGTCTTCATGGAAAATGAAGATTAAAAAAAAAAAAAAAAAAGAAAGAAAGAAAAAAGGAAGAAAAAAAGAGGTGGAGGAAGGAACAGAAGCATACTTCAAGACCAAATTCTCATCAGACTAAAAATCAGTGTTAACTCCCACATTGCAACACTTTGCAGGTCTAATAGACACAAAGCTGTTCCTTCACCCGAAAGCCAAACATAAAAGTCACGGAAACCCATCATGCCAATTCTGTGGCTGATTTCCGGAGCAGAATCTCTTTAAATATCAGTGTTCCCTTTGTTCTGTGCACCCTTTATAATGAGTCTATCATCTGTTTGGTAAAAGATCCAGTGAAATATGTAATAAGGTTATCTCACCATCTCTTTCCATTGTAAAGTCATATCTCCTCTTCCACTCATTAATTATTGTCTTCCATTTCCTGTGTCAGATGTGAATCAGAAAATAGGGACTCAAGGCTTGCAAGCTTAGCAATTTACCATATATTAGCTGAGCTGTGGTAACTCTCCATGTGCTCCCTCTTAGCCCATAATAAACAAAGCCAGTGTGACTTTGCTGTACACAGGCCTGCAGTCGATGCTGTTTGGATTAACTTCCTTTTATTGTCAGCAAAGTGGTCATGACAGCGATAGTGGCCATGGCTCAGCTCATGTTCAGTCCTCATATTGCAAGACTTTGTCTTTAAATCCTGGGAGCAGAGCTCTACCAATATAACTATCTGGAAAGCTACAATGATTTATGTGCTGTCAACATACACTAAAAAAAAAAAGGACAGAAAAGCAGCACAATTACATGATTATCAGCCAATGCCCCTCGGTTTGCAGTTTTTCAAGCATGAACTGCTCAAACTTTGGATCAAGAAGTGAAGCAATCTGTTTCTCAAGTGCAAACAGGGAAAAGTTATATGAGTCTTCTAGCAATTTCAGGCAAATATATCACAGAAGCAGCATGCTTAGCCTTTTTACTGTGCATCTGTCTGAGGTTTCCAGTAAGATTTCCCTGATATATAGTAAGAGTCAAAACTCTAATCTCTTTTAGCTCTTTTTTATTGTCTCTGCAGCACTAACTTTGAAAAATGGCCTTGTCCCCAAAGAACTGCACACAGTCCGTGTAGGGAAGCTGTTAAAATAAATGCTTTACGTAAAAAATATTGCAGACGAACTTGGCTCTGAGGGTTTTAGAGCTACAACATATAGATATAAACCAGAGCAGCTAAGTATGAATGGAGGTCATACTCCAGTAGAGAAGAAGGGAAGTCCCCTGTCAGTTGTTACACACAATCTCTGAAAGCAACAATTCCTTCTCTCCTTACTCAGGGCTGCAGAGTTTTAATAAATGACTATTCTCATGTTAATGTCCTTCTGCCTTTCCCCCCCCCCCCCCCCCCCCAACCTCAAAACACACCATGCTGTGAAAAATGCATATTATATGATTGGTTCTTTGCAAATATTAAAATGAATACTATATGTGTTATGTTGGAAAGTTATGTTGCATTAATCTCTTTTAAGTAGTGTAGTAACTATGGTTTTTAGGCTATAGCTTTAACTTTTGTTAAAAATTTTAGAAGTTTACTAGTAATGGTCTTCTTATGAGCACCTCTCCCAGGAAATAACATGGGCTCAGAAAAATTTACTGTACAGTAACACAGCAGTATTCTATGGGAGTGCTCTCACAGCAGATGGAACAATAATTCATACTGTGTGTTCAAATAAAGGAGCAACTTGCACTTCACTCCTGGAGCTTCAAAAAAGCTGCAAAGATTATTTCGCCCTGTAACTAACAGGTACAGCATGATTCTGCCTGCTGTACTCTTCTAGAGGCCTGGACTGAGAGAATATTTCTAAAGCACCCCTGGAAGTGTCCAAGGCCGGGTTTGATGGGGCCCTGTGCAGCCTGGACTAGTGGCTGGTGCCCTTGCACATGAAAAGGGGTTTGTAGCTAGATGAACTTTAAGGTCCCTTCCAACCCAAACTCATCTATGATTCTGTGAAAGCAACACACACATGGAGTGCTAACCCTCCACTCCCCCAAATAAACAAAAGCTGTTTCCTATTTTGGAAAAAACAAACAAACAAACAAACAAAAAAACAAAACCAGAACAAAACCAGAACAAAACAACCAAATGGAAAGAATCTGAAATACTCACTCATATAACGGTTGACTTACAAGAGGCAATGTAAAGAGGAGCTTTATGTTAGAAGAAACTCAGCCACATGAAAACTAAAATATTGGGCCACTACCCCCAAGGCTGATCTTAAACAGTCCCTGAGTCCCTAAACACAACCCAAAAAACATCCAGTGCTGCACCTCAATGTGTCATTCTGTACAACAGAGCCAGGTTATCTTCCTGGAAAACCAGGTCCAGAGGCCAGGAGGCTCTTGTTGTATTTGCACATACTAGTGCCTTTTGTTGGGAGATTTAGGTCACAAGAGTGAAGGAAAGGCAGCTCTGCAATCACCTGGCTCTTGCACGTGTTGTGCAAAGGTTTCTGAACTCAACCTCCTTTCCAAGACACACCCTTTGTTTGTTACTTTCTCTTAGGGTTTTTTCGCAACCCCATCCACTGCCAACACAAACAAGGTTGCAACATCTCCCTCCAGTCTGTCTTCCTCTGCTCTGCTCTAAATGTCAACCAGCCACATAGCACTGCTCACTTGCTTAACTTGGCAAAATACCTGCTGTGGCAGCCTTGTGCCTTGACTGCCTCCGGGAGAAAGTTTCTTGGGAATGGTAAGTGACAGAACCTGCAAGTCGGTGTTAGTCACGTTGATACCAGATACCAAGAGTCTTGCGCAGGTAGAGCACGCGGCTGGCTTTGCTGAGCAGCCATCAAGCATCTGTAAGGCACAAGGAGAGGCTAAGGAGAGTAATTATCAGGGATCACAGTGGTTACTGAAGTTGTTTCTGCAACTGTGGTGCTTTCTACTTTGCTGCAGTGTGTACCTATGCATAGAGAGCAGGGGAGAGAAGTTGCTGTTGTTTCAATGTCATATATCGGTGCAAAACAAATTGTGGGACCTAGTTCCACTCCTAATATTTGGGATAACTAGAGTAGATGCCTTCTTATAAAAGGGGCACCACAACAAGCACACTGTGAGTATGCAGGTAGGAAACACAGGCACTCTGGAGACCCTCTTAATTCCCAAATCTTGCCCAGAGTAGAAAGTAGATCTATCTGTCCACTGCACAGAGGATATCTAGCAAGCCCAGGAAAATGGAGAGTGCCTGGTGCCTACACTCAGCCATTACAGCACA